GGGGGGCCCGGCCTAAAGCCGTGTAAGGGGCCACAAAATTTCTGAAGGCTGCCCCATTTGTAATGTATTATAATATACACCCTATTACGTTAAAGCTAACTCCGGCCCTCCAGCTGTGGTGAAGCTACAGATCCGATCATGACTTAGCTTCTGGGAGTCACGTGTGTGGCTGGCAGAATCTTGCAATGCCTAATGGTACTTTTGTAGTTGCATCACAAATTTAGGGCCAGAGTTTTTCTAATCCTGCTTTAAAAGGTTTAATCTACCAAATGCTGAAAATACCCAGAAGTTTACTACTGATCTGCGTTATATATCGTGAGGATTCAATCAATAGTTACATATAGGAACTCAATTTGACTTCCAAGTTACATGTACCTGTGAATGTCCTACAAGGATATTTCTCTTGCTATCTTGGATTTTGTGTTTCAATGTAATTGCAAGGGAATTAAAACAACCACCACCTTTCTTTACAATCCCACGTTTAGTTTAATAATTTGTATTGAGATTGTAGTCCATCACGGGAGTGAGCTTGGAGTGGTGGCTACTTTACAACACACACAGGGACCATGGGGAACAAAAGTAGCCACCCTCCAGAAGGAAGGACAGTGTCAGCATGAATTCAGAGATGATTTGAGGATCTACAGCTAAGTGATACACAAATAGGATACATTTTTGCTAGTAGTTGAGGTACTTGAATTCAGTTTTAGGATTTAACTCCTGAGTTTAGTGTCACTTTAGGGTCCCTATCTCATATGTACACACATACCTGGGCCCAGAGTAGCCAGTTACCACCCAGCATATCTTTGGGCTGACCAGCACAAGGAGGACATTTAAACTTCATGGTTGAGCCTGAATTCAAACTAGGGACCTCAGTTATGCAAGGCAGAATTGCTACCCACTGAGCCAACCCATAGTATGGCTACGCTCCCTGCAATTTTATTTACTTGTGGGTGGAAGTCTGACTTTACTTTCATGCCCGCACTGGCTGTAAGCCCAGCAGGTCTTATAGACCTCAGCACTGTGATCACATCTCCTCCATCCTCCTGGCCAATCACAAACCACACAGCCCAAGCTCTGTTTTCTGATTGGCCAGGAGGAGACTGGGCGCACTTACAGCCGGAGCGGGCCCGGAAGTACAGTACCTTCCACATGCAAGTCTTATCTAAGTTTTATGATTATGCAAATCAGCACTGCGGTCGCATCTCCATCCTCCTCTCTTCCTGACCAGTCACAAAACGCACAACCCCAGGCTAGCCCGGAAGTACAGCCATAGCTGGACTTCCACATGCAAGTGAGCCTTGAGTTCAGCTTTAATAAGCTGACATCTAAAAAATACTTTTAAAATGTTTTAGCTAATTTAATTTGTTCAGAAATGACAAACATACATTGCGTGTTTTCCAGCAGTGGGTGAAGAAGAACAATAGTGGTCAGTAGGGGAAGGTAGACAACAGTATTGCCCCGGCGGGGCATGGGGCGCAACAGTGGTGCCCAGCGGGGGGTGAAGGAACAATAGTGCCCGACACAGCATTCTGTGTCCCTCCTCCTGCTGCCCAGTACTCCGTGTGCAGTGAGTGATTTCCTGCCTGATAGTTCCAGCTCTATGCAGACTCTGTAGACTCTTGAGTGCTAGAACAAGGGCTCCAGCACTGGGCTCTGGGACACAGCCCGTAGCCATTGGAAGCTGACATTTTATTAAATCCTGGGATGGTCCTGCAGAATCTGGGAAGGTTGGGGGTATGGTTTAGCTACACTGTAAAGAGCGCATGTCTTTCTGTACACTGGGGCTGAAAACAAGGAAAGCAGCCAGAATCCCTCTAGATGTGCATTCTGCTTTCCACACTTTGCTATCTGTACTCACCTGGCATGAGAGGATCGGAAAGGTTTAGGTAAACTAAGGCAGGGGCTATCTGATTCTAGCAGTTCATGATCTCTATTTATTGAGTGAGTACATTGTATCATAGAAAACATCAGTTATGGCACTTGACAGTGAAGACACTGACCCACACCAGTATGCGTAGCATACATCTTCGTTGTTCTGTCTTTGTCTGCAGTTACAAAGCAGACACAGTCATGTTTAAATTCAAAAAAAGTTGTGTGTGCAGTGGGTGACACCTGGAATGCCAGCTCACAAAGCACAGGGTTAAAAAGATTATTTTTGCAAGGTTGTTTGGTATTCTTAGCTACAGTATATGAAGACTAAATGTGTTCTCAATTGTGTGAGTTTATGAATCCTAGTAAGCATTATTTGTATCTAAATTGATAAAATAACACAGGGCTAAGACATCTAGGAGCCAACAACAATGTGACATATTCAGCCCCCCCTTCCCAATAGCTGCCACTTATACATTTTTTTGCAGGACCTTGCTTTCTTCCTATGCTTTTTGATGTGGAAGTTAACCTGATGGAGGCATGTCAACTCACCCTAAAATCAAGGCAGTCACCCTGTGTGTGTTTTTTGTTTACCCCTTTTACCCTGTCACCCTGCATTAGAGATGTTCAGATTCCAATTATCTTACTCGGAGCTGGAAAAGTATTTGTACTTGCACTAAGACTAGACCTAGAGAAAAAAATCAAAAGTTAGGAGGCAGCTGTCATTTTTAAGGAGCATATGGGGCTCCTGGGATTTGTGCAGCTCTGTTTTAATGCATGTTTTTTTTTAATTTTTATTAAATATATATTGGGGATGCACCTAATACCATTTTTTTTTTCAATTACTGATACTTGTCCAAGTACTCACAGATGCAGGTTCTGATACATTTGTTTATTGTCATTTGACAGTTGACAGACTAATGATTTCAGGACAGTGGTGGAGTGCCAGGGCCCTGTCACAGCTGTAACCGCTGCATCCCTGGTAGTTCTCATGAAAATGCCAAGTATCGGCACTGGTATCTGAACTTACCTACCCTGCATGTTGGAATCCCTTGATTACAACTATAAAAGATCCCTTGATTACTCTCCTTCACCAGAGACCTCTTCCATGCATAGTTCCCAGGTGAATAGTATTTTGCAAAACTATCTTGATATTTAATTTGTGTAAAATGCATATAAAAATAAAATGTTGACAACATTTACACAGGGACATTGCAAACCGCTACTTCTTTTGTTATACATCCTAGATATACAGTAGTTGCCTGGTTTTTGCTCTTTGTATGCAAACGTCACAGAAAACAAATTGGCCTCTCCCAGTTCTTGCTGCAGCATATGGCACTTCCTTATGACCCTGTAAACTTTTGATATCTTTGCATTATGGAGAGGCCAGGTCTCCTTTCCTAGTACAGCGCACTCTATGACAGGTCGCCTGGCTAACAAGTAGTTCTGAGTGGGGCTTACGAGAAGAATGCCCTCGTTATCATGAGCCTTTCTTCTAGTTGCCAAAGTGATCTGGCAATTCATTTTCTGTCTGTGGATTAACATGGCCCAATGTATTCTAAAAAGAAACCACCTGTGGAGGCAGTAGTGATAAGGATCCCACCAGTTCAATTGACAAACAGGGTTATTCACAAAAGGGTAAATAGTTAGGAGAAGGCAGGAGAAGTGAACAATCTAGGACAAAATAGCTGATTAGGAAAATGTCTCCAATTGAGCTCACTTTCCAGTTCAGCTATGTTGTCCTAGATTGTTCACTTCTCCTGCCTTCTCCAATCTCTTCACTCTTTTGTGAATAACCCTGAAAATTTTCTAACCTAGGAAGAACATTTTCATGTTTGTGACATCCGCGTGAGTGGACAGTGAGGTGAGTGTATCTTGCTCCTCAAGGTACTAATAAGAGGGGATAAAAAAACATGCAGGAGTAGGTACATGTTTTGCCCGAAGATGGGCTTTAAAGGAGAACTATGAGTTGAGTGCTTTTCACTCACCTCATAGTTCTAGCCGACCTGTGACAATGAGACTGTCGCAGGTCGGCTCAGTAGATCGGGAGGTGAGTGAACACATACCGGCGTTCGCTCACCTCTCGATCCTGTCACAGCTCTCTGCTGTGACGGGAGGGGCTGGATTCCCCCTCCAATCCGCCAGCGCTGACTGGCGGAACAGACGGGGGAGGGGGCGGGTACAGCTGGCTCTGCCTATCTGCCTGTCAGTCAGGCAGCTTCAGCTGCGGCGTCTCAGTGTACCGCGAGCTACATCTCGCGGTATACTGAGCCTAGGGTGACGGGAGGACGCTAGTTTGTGTCCTCCCGTTACCCTAAGGAGAACTATAGGAAAAAGCCTTAACCCCATAGTTCTCCTGTATCATGGAATCCAAATACTGAGTTATTTGTTGGCGAAAACATCAGAGATGTTAATATTCATATATTTGTTGCACATTGTCCCGGTCATTTAGTTGTGATTCATCACTTGGAACAACTCGACAAATACAGCCTGTAGGTGTAATTGAATATAACCTTATCTGTAGTAGCAAAGCTGGTAATTGGTAATGATATTTATAGAGTTGTTGTTGTGGTATTTGGATATTTGCAGGGCTAGCAAAAAGAAGCATTGTGAATTCCCTAAATCAGTACACAATAGAGAGGTCTATACATGCAGTCTATCAAGTATAATATATTCTTATAAGTAGCTCTGTGGATCTGGAACAGCAGTCTCCATCCTGTGGCTTAGAATCCACATACAACTCTCAGCTCCCTTTTGATGTAACTATCGGCAAATAGTAGGCATTCGGTGTCTGCCGGCATGTTACGGCTCCTGTAAGTGTGAAGATAAGCAGAAGCCGCCTAATTTATATCTTTCTGTTAAAATGTTGAGCAACTTTGACTTCATTCCATAATTCCGTAATCAAAAGCTTATTAAATAAAGCCATGCAAAGATGAGGAGTGAAGTGTGGTAGCCCATAGCATAAAATGTACTGGAACTAGATAAGTAAAATATGAGCCCTATTTGCTTGCTCTGGGTTCCTGCACTTGTCATGCTGTACTTTAATAAAATCAGTCCATTGGAGCCTTTTGGCCACTTATTTTCCTTCTGAAGTCTTCTAGTTTGTGAATTTGTATGCTGTAGAAGGTTTCCAACACATGGGTGATCCAAGTGTGTGACCTAACACATTTTAGGGACTTCACGTGCAGCCCTGAATACTTCTAGGAACCTTTTTATTACTCTTTAAATTTTGCTTAGACAAAAAAATTGGTCAACACCAAGAATTACATCATCCATGCTCAGTTGGTTTATGTACAGCAGTGTTAGAAGCAGCAATGACAAAGGTTAAATTGAACTGGTGGGATCCTTATCACTACTAAATTAAGAGCTGTAGGAGATGGCTGAGAGCATGCACGGTCAGCTGGTAGCTTTTCAGCTTTAGGGTTTGGTCCTCTCTTCTCTGCTTTGAGTCCTCTCAAAAATCTATGCAAAGAAAGACTTTTCTCAGTCTATATTTGCATAATGGTTACAACGCTACTACCCTCCATTCAGGTAAACAAATACCACTCCAGGTTTCCCCACACTTGCCAGCAAACACCAATGGGTGCATGCCAAGCTCGTCACTAAAGAATATACAGTATTCTTACAAGGTAAATGGATGAAGACAATTGGGCCGGCATGATGGAGCTACGGGCCCTCTTCTTTCTCTCTGGCCCCCCCCCCCCCCAACATGCGGAACTCCAGGGCTCGGTCTCAATTGCGACCACTGCGACCCTGGTAGTTCCGCCAGTTCTCATAAAGGTGCTTATTCATGGAGTGACAATGACTTTGGCTGCTTGGCTGGGCATTGCATTGTAGGGTAAGAGGCAAGGGGAATCCCGTATCTACACTATGAGATGACCATTTATATTGTCGGCTATCTTTTTATAGCTTTTAATTTGGTTGTTTTAATGATCACACAGGTTCCTTTTAAGTCAGGTGGTCCGATCAGGTTTGACTGTCAGTTTTTCAGGCGGATCTGATCGGAAGCCTAAAGTTAGCCTAAGGGGAGCTGGATCTAAACAGACGTGCATCTGATTACCTTGACTCTGTCCAGGTCCAGAAAACAAAACCTAACAGTTCTGTTATGGTGGACCTGATTGTGACTGACTGGGGGTAATCTGATGTAAACAGAGACATATCCACTTATATCCGACTCCCCATAGATCTAACCTGTATCCGGTAAGTTCAGTTTTTTCCTCCATCGCAAGATCGAGTGAAAAAAATCTAGATAGACAAGGATATCCCAACGGTGACATCCGTTGCGTACTGCTCTGATCAGCAGGCATTCCTGCATGGATCCCCTGCTGATTGGAACTGACAGGCTCCCATGTGAAAGGGACCAAACACTTATCACTGCCGGGACCACCATGCTTTCTCTGGGCATTAAAAAGTAGATCACACTAATGCCACCTTTGGCATACTACTTGTAACGCTGCTGTACATATAACTGATTATCATGCTTGGCACTGAACAATTTCTTGTCTAAGAAAAATTATAATGGTAAAGAGGTTGTCAGAAGTTTTCAGGACTGCATGTAAAACCTCTGAAATGGTTCTAGATTATCAGTAAATTCAGTATTTATGCAGATTTTGAAATATAGTGATGAAGACATTGTATGCTTTTTTATTTATTTAGTGATTTTGGCTTGGCTGTTGCTGTAGAAACTTTTTATAGTACGTAGAGTAGAAAAGTGTGTGCTTCATCAGTCTTTAATAACTATATATCTGTGATTTGTACGTCACTGTACAGTAGTGATGTGCTTCCTCTAGTCTTCAATGACCGTACATCAGCAACTTGTTTTGTCATGCAATGGTATTTGTTCATTCAAGCCCTTAGGCTTTGTTCACACCTAGGCGTATCGAATATGCCCGTTTGTCGCGCGTTTTTACAGCGATTCGCGACAAACGTGCGTTTCCGCGGGCTACTTGGCTGTATCCCAATGGAAACACGCAACAAAAACGCAGCAAAGAGGCTCATGTACCTTTTCAGGCGTAGGCCGTTTTGTAGCGCGTTCAGACGGGCTGAAATACGGCAAGTGGTGAACCTTGGCCAGAGAAAACAATGGGATTTTCATGTTTGAGCGTTTTGTAAAGCGTTTTGTAGAGCGTTCGTAGAGCGTTGAACGCCCTACAAAACGTACAGGTGCGAACCAGGCCATAAGGTAACTTGCATAACTAGATGCTTGACCTCATAAAAAGTGCTGAGTGATTCACTTCCAAACCCAGAAATCAGGCGTTGTGTAATGTCTACTTGCCCCACTTTCCAATGCAGACTAAACTGACAGCATAAACTTTAAATGTTTTCAAGGTACGACTAATAAAGCCTCATCCCCACCCCCATCTGCTGCTGGCAGTCGTCACATGACCGAGAAGTTAGACACCATATTGTCGCAGCTGAGGCAGGTAACGCGTGAGAGGGATGAGCTCCGCAAACGCTTGGCTTTATCCTCCCCAGGATCAACGTTTGATGACTGCAGGTAAGAGGAGAACGCATTATTAAAGTAATTATTTTAATATAACGTATACTATCTTTTTTTTAAGGTGTTCTATATTTTTTATTCATGCATACACACATGCAGTAACTACGTAATGAATATGTGAGTTTGAAATAGTTGAGTCCCCCTATTTGGTATGTGTATCTTTTATAGGCCGAGTCCTAAATTGTCACCTGACTACGAGCGATTAAAGGTGCAGTGCATGAAAGCCATGACTGAGCTTGAGTCCCTACAGAACCAGCACTCAAATGCACTTAAGAAGTGTGAAGAAGCAGCAAAGGAAGCAGATTTTTATCAGTAAGTAGCTTTTTCTATTTGTGTAGGATTCTTAGCTTTTAAAGTGTCCTATAGTGACTGTATTGAAGTTTCAACTGAATGCACACTTGTGTGCCGATTAGGCCACCTGGGGTAACAATGCAACAAAAGAGCAATCAAATGACAGCATACGGTGCCAGTACATGCCTCCTACTGCGGGCTTTGAAGTTTGTGTAGTGAAGAAGGGGCACACCCCCCTCCACCACCATTCCGCAATACACTGCCCCATGCCAGTGAAATCCATCAGGCCACAGCATTTCCAAGCTAATTTCATCTGCAACTTATTTGCATAGTGAATCTGTTAGGACTCAGGATTGCACAGGGGTGTGTGCTGACAAGCACACAGGTTCACTTTAGTGTAAATCTGTCACAAATCTAGACGTCGGGCGCGTCCAGGAATCAATTTCAACGTGTAAACGCAAGATGTGTTTATTTGCTGAAATCTTATTGGCTACTTCCATGGACTATTTCAATGGACAAACGACAGATGCATCTAAACGCATATGCGTGTAAAAGCGCGTCATTTTAAGCATCTAGAAGCATAAACAAAGCATCTGACGGATTTTGCTGACAGATCTCGGCATAAAAACACAAGTGGCCAGTGGGAATGAAGCCTCAATGCTAATCTTGTCCTTTCTGAAAGTTAAGGTTGGATCCCTCGCACCTCGTGAGCCTCCCTTTTGCTCCTGTAATGTGATGGAGGCCTCACTGAGCAGGCTGTAACTTCTACTAATATTTTTAATGTGTGGTTTTCATAGACGGTAACATCAGTTTTCCTCTTATATGCTTTTAAATTGTGTTTGTGAGAACACTGATTTAAGTTATGTGCCCCAGTTGTATTTAAGGGTTACACCACCTTCAGTATGGCATGTAGTTACCAGATCAATGCGGCATCTCCTAACTTAACTGGAAATTTCTCTTTTATATCTTTGAGTGGCTAAATATTCCGTACAGCATGTCATTTTGAAGAACAGCATTCCCCTTCATCTCATGTAGAAGTGAATTACAAAGCATATAGAAAGAGAACATTAAAGGATATCCAAGAGAGAACCATAGGACCAAAATGGCATGCCAACTACAGGGTACTACTAAAAATCTGAAAATATTGAGCGATTAATAAAGAACCGCTACACAAATGTTTAACAAAATAATTGTTAAAGTTTTTTTTTTTTTTGTCTAACCTCATTGTCTTAGACAGCAATTTCCCCTTCAAGCTGGCCCTCGCAGACCATTTCTGATGCTTTGTATAAACACTAAAGCTGAAAGTGCTCAAAGCAAATAAGCTTTTAGGTTGCAGGCTATAGAACTATGCAATTTTCTATAGCGTTTTCTTTTAATTGTGCTTTGACTACAAATACACATAAATGCTCAGACCAATGCCGTATACTAGAAGTCCTTTTCCAACAGCATTTCCCAACCAGTTTGATTATTTCTTGATTTATAGCTATATAGGTTGTATGGGTCTCTTAATTAAATACATTGCTAGATAATGTATTTATATGTCTAATTTTTCAACATTAAAGGAGAACTATGAGGTGAGTGCTTTTCACTCACCTCATAGTTCTAGCCGACCTGTGACAATGAGACTGTCACAGGTCCGCTCAGTAGATCGAGAAGTGAGCGAACACATAGCGGTGTTCGCTCACCTCTCGATCCTGTGACAGGGGAGGGGCTGGATTGCCCCCTCCCCGCTCCGATTTGCCAGCGCTGACTGGTGGAACGGACGGGGCAGGTACAGCTGGCTCTGCCTCTAGATAGGCAGAGCCAGCTGTCAATCACGCAGGTGGGCGGATCCAGACATAATTGTCGGGGTCCGCTTCAGCTGCGGCGTCTCAGTATACCACGAGCAGTAGCTCGCGCTGTACTGTGGCGTCTCAGTATACCGCGAGCTGTAGCTCGCGGTATACTGAGCTTAGGGTGACGGGAGGACGCTAGTTTGCATCCTCCCGTTACCCTAAGGAGAACTATGGGGAAAAGCCTTGACCCCATAGTTCTCCTTTTTAACATCCTGCTTGTCTGACTTACATGTGGTGGTATCAGCACAGTACTCTGATCTCGGCATAAATAACATGACATATTGAAGCTTCACATTGAATACGTTTATAATAAACATTTTAATACATGCAAAAAATGTGCACTATAGTCCTCTAAAGAGACAAGTTAGCAGAGCAGCTTGCTTTGCAGCTCTCCAACTCTGCCATCTGTTAAGGATGAGTCGCTCCACTGATGACTTATTCCAGTTCTATAAAAAATCAATTGATAAGCCTATTTATATGAGGTAAATAGGAAATATTGCATATTATTATGTAGTCTTACCAGCCAGCGGCCACAATAGCATGAGTACTATTCAGCTGTGCTCTAAGAAACCTGTTTTCAGTCCTGACCATAACAAACAAAGAAAAGACCACTAGCCTTGAGGTCCAGCTGGTCTAACCTTTACAGTTTTAAGGGAATAAATAGAGGTTTAGTACATCTTCTTTTTTGTTTTTCCATTAAGACATTTTTTTTATGGTTTTAAACACTAATTTTACATTGTGACCATCTTTCATGTTACACCCTTATACAGGGATGTAACCTAAAACATGGCCAGATCTCAATCCCCCTCCCGCCCCATGAATTGCAGGTTTCTTTCCTTCACAGGCTTGTGTACGTTTTTTATTCGGTGCGACTGTGTATGGCTCTGCCAACACAGCCGTGTCATCCATTTACAGATCCTGTCAAAGAGGAAACTACAAGTCGCCCACTGCGGCAGAGGGACTTATAGTTCTCAATGGAAGCCAGACAATTGCACCTACAATCCACTGATTGCAGTTGCAATGCTTTAATGGCTCCAATGCAAAAAAAAAAAAGCAAATTTTTTTATTTTTTAATGAAGTGCATTGTTTTTTCCCCTAAAAGGTGGACTTTCCCTTTTTTTGTCAAACCTCATAATGTGACATTTGCAAAAGACTGATCATCAGTTTGCAGCTGTTTAGAGTCTTTCTTAAAAACAAATGGAATTTCTTACAATCTAGGATCCTCAAAAATAATTATTGTTGGATGTATGTAATTAGTAGAATGTGATAGTTTGGGGGTCAGGACTGAGGAATATTGTGGACTGAAGCTAAATGTTTAAGTCCTGGAAGAAGCATGACATTAGAAAACCTCTTAAGACGATCACCCATGTATTTCACATGTAGCACTCTGCACAGCCGTGTGTTGAGCGACCAGACACAGCTCCAAGAAGATGGGGAGAGTCTGCGGCGGAAACATGCCCAGTTACAGCGCGAGTTCAATCACCTGCAACAATCCTGTCAAGACCTCAAGAGGATGCACGAAGCTGATCAGAAGGAGATCTCAGAACTTCGGAGACAACAGCAACTGGTATTTTTGCTTCTTCTTTGATTGTGTAGCAGTACAGTCCATGAGGGAATAACAAAGGATGATGGGTATGCAGATTTTAGCACGTACGGTCTCAACCTTCTTGTATTTTTTTGAATATTTCAGGGTTTTTTGACAAATGTAGGTCATAACATGCAGTCTGATTTCCATATTCTGCCATGATTCATAATAGTGCTCACTGTGCGGTGTCGGGTGCAATCACGACATTTACTGTATGCGCCAATAACATGCAGGGGTGTTCAGATGAGAATAAGTGACTAATGCTTGTGAGTACAAGCCAATACATACGCTGACTACACATCAAACTGCAGGCATCAGGTTCAACTTTCTATCATCAAGCCTGGCACTTAAATGATACACAGATGAGTATGACTGACTGTTTTAAAAAAAAAATATTTTGTTCATGTTATCATAACAGTGGAAATTTTTGTTTTTAGAAGACCTAGAACAGCATTTCTCAACCGTTCTTCAGTCACAGCACTTTGTAAAAGTATGCAAAATCACACCCCAGGCTAACAATGTAAAATACCGTGGCCCCCTCGAAATTCCGTACCAGACTCTTATCCCTTAACTTTTGACCAGTAGTCTGGTATGGATTTTAAGGGGAGAACTCAAGCAAAAACACAATCGTAAATGGATTACCCTTTCACATTTAAATGCCCTTTTCCAAATCGGGAGCCCCTCTTCCTTTCACATCAGAATCCCCCTTTCACATTAGTAGCCCTATTTACATTAGGTGCCCCCGATTTTCAAATCAGAGTACCCCTTCACATCAGAGCCGCCTGTCTTCACATTTGATTCCCCCCCCGTCTCACACTGGAGCCACCCTTCACATTGGAATCCACTATTTTGACATCCGAGTCCCCCCTCTCACACTAGGAATCCCCTTCGCATCAGAGCCCCCTATTTTCATATCAGAGTCCCTCTCTCACTAGGAGCCCCCTTCACATAAGTCCCCCATTACATCAGGAGCCCGCTTAACATCAGGAGCCCCCCTTCACAACAAACGGCACCTTGGTTTAGAATGTCTGACTAAAAAGAAGTTCTGGATTTGGGGTAGATAGTCAAAAAAGTTCCACAATGACTAATGTGTTTAGTGGTGAAATCTTTATAAACACTCGCACAGCAATAACAAATAAAATGGTAAAGAGAGTCTTGGGGGATTGCAGCTGTAGGGATCAGATTTCATACAATCTGTTCCCTTACCACTGATTGGTACTTTTTGCTGACATCTTTAGTGTTTAGGAGCATAACATCTATAAAAGCAAGTTCGGAATGCAGCAATGTAAAGATTAGATTGTAGAGCATATGTTAGAATATTCCCTTCTAAAAATATGTTTAGTCATTTTAAATGTCTTTTTGTGGTGTTACTATGTTCTTTTGTACTGTTAACAGGTGCAGGTAGTCTTAAACCGGCTAACTAACGTGTATGCATATCCATAATCTGTTGTGTTAAAACCCCCGCCAAGATATTTTAGTTACTGTTTTGCTGTTTATGTCCCTTGAGACAGAACTAATGTTTTAAAGTTGTCACCAGAACCATAGGTGAAGGTAAATTCTCCAGTTGAGACACCTGTTTGATTTATAAGGTCTGTTTAAAGCTGGCCATGTACTGCTCGAATTTTGGCTGAATCAAACTGTGGGTGGCCCTGCTAGCACCCCTCTTTTCGATAAAAAGGTCCATTTTTTTTCTTAAAGGAGAACTATGGGGTCAGGGCTTTTTTTCCCCATAGGTCTCCTAAGTGTAATAGGAGGACACAAACTAGCTTCCCCCCGTCACCCAAAGCTCAGTGTATGCTTTGCTTATAAGATGGAATGTGTGATATTTGTGTGATACTGTATAGAAAGACCCTAGTTCAGGGACTAACCCTTCATCATACTATACAAAAAATAAAGAAAATCTCTCATCCACTAGCACCAAAAAGCCAACACTTAGCCAGGAACACCAAGGGAAGCATATCACACAAGGAGGCAGCCCATCTTTAGTCAGGGAGACTCGACTGATCATCAAATAGCAGAATACAAAAACAAACCTTCCCTAGTGCAGTAATTATTTATGAAAGAAATTGTTTAGCTAAAAACATACTCACAATAGGTATAATAAAAATGTTTACCAATCGTAGTACCACAGGCAGCAGTTGTAGCAAGCAGAGCTGAATGTTATGTAGAGGCTGCAGACCAGCACCCATATCACAGTACACACAGCATCCAGGCTGACTCATTTCTGGGGCCGCACCTCCATCTTAGCTGCTGAAGGCTCTGAAGAAGGGGGCGTGGCTCCGGAAACCGATCAGCCTGGAAGCTGCGTGTACTGTGATATGGGCGCTTGTCTGCAGCCTCCACATAACATTCAGCTCTGCTTGCTACTGGGACTATTGATACAGCTACTGCCTGTGGTCCTATGCTTGGAAAACATTTTTTTATTCATATTCTGAGTGTGATGTTATTCAAACAATTTCTTTAATAAATGATTACTGCACTAGGGACGGCACTCTGTCTGATTTCGTATTCTGCTATACAAAAAAGTATAGTTAAAAAAAGTACAGTTAATGTGATTTTTATCTAAATATTTGTTTTGGTCTTCACCTTCCGCTGTAGGTGGTAAAACAGAATGGCTCCTCTGAACTCATTAACAAGCTATATGACACTGCTTTGGACAAGCTAGAAATTTTGAAGAAAGACTATGACACTTTACGTAAACAGTACAATGAGAAGGTGACCAGCCATAATTTGGATTTAGGGCGTTTGGAGCAGAGCGAGGAGGAGAAGAGGAGCCTGCAGAAGCAGCTGGAGGGGCTTCTAAAGCAGAGGGACAGTGCACTGCACCTCCAACATCAGTACACATCCTCTTTAAGAAGGTAAGCATGTCCTGTATGAACACCAAAGTTTCCAAACGTTGTATTTGCCTATGACGTATATATAACTAAAACAACATAAGATCTTTTGGCTGGAATTTCAGACTTGATTGTCTAATTTTGAGTTTGGTAGTTACCATGTGTAAAGAAGCTTTGCTTGCCTAAACTAAGGTGAATTGCATTCTTTCTACAGGTACGACTCCATTCAGCAGGAATTGAATAAAGCAGCATTACAGAACAAGGAGCTGCAGAGAGAAGTGGAGAGGCTGCAAGCTGAGGCTACACGGTTTAAGACCATGCAACTTAAGGCAGCCAAAGATGCTGAGAAATACAAGGAGGAGAGAGACTCTGTGTTCAATGAGTATCGCTTAATCATGAGCGAGCGGGACCAAGTTATCAAAGAGATGGATAAAATGCAAACTGAGCTTGAGCTAGCACAGGGGAGGCTAAAAAATACATCCAGTGAGAAGAGAGTTGCCAGCGAGGAGATGGAAGCTCTTAGACAGGTATATTTAAGTCGTGAATATTAAAGCAGACCTAAACTTCAAAAGTGAAAAGTTGCTGGTGTAGCAAACATCTAAAAATGTTAATTGTGTTTAAACAATACTCGAAAAAATAGCCGTGCACTTCCTGGTATTTAAGGGAATCTAGGTACTCGTGTCCCTACAGCCTCATAGATCTCACGCTGCAGATATATACTAAGATACTGCTAGTCTTAGGGAATCTAGGTACTCGTGTCCCTACAGCCTCATAGATCTCACGCTGCAGATATATACTAAGATACTGCTAGTCTTAGGGAATCTAGGTACTCGTGTCCCTACAGCCTCATAGATCTCACGCTGCAGATATATACTAAGATACTGCTAGTCTTAGGGAATCTAGGCACTCGTGTCCCTACAGCCTCATAGATCTCACGCTGCAGATATAAACTAAGATACTGCTGGTCTTAGGGAATCTAGGCACTCGTGTCCCTACAGCCTCATAGATCTCACGCTGCAGATATATACTAAGATACTGCTAGTCTTAGGGAATCTAGGCACTCGTGTCTCTACAGCCTCATAGATCTCATGCTGCAGATATATACTAAGATACTGCTAGTCTTAAGGAGATTTGGTCACTTTTTTGCTGCTCACTGTTCTCCTTGCTGGCGGGTTTGCCATGTGGAAGCAAAGCCCTGACTCTACCAAGATGGCCACCTCCACACAGAGGCACAGTGCAGAATAAGGCATGGTGAGTCCTTAATGGGGAGAGATCAGCTGCAGGGAGACAACGGGCAGTTCTGGTGTCTAGTCCTTTGCCCTCTACCTGACCTTTTTTGTCCCAGTGTTTAAAACCTCTTTAGTTTGCATTGTATTTTTATTGTGTTAGAAAAGCAGTACAGAGAAAAAACTGTGACATTTACAAAGAGGCAAGTTGCTTAATTGACTTTGTTCAAGTACTGGCTAAATAATGGGCTTTGGTCTAGTTCCTGTTTTAAAGCAACCATTTTTATCAAATTAAACTAATTACCTTTCACACAATGTAGGGAAGTGAATTCTGGCTGTCAATCACAGCCCGAATGTCAAAGATATCCTAGCACGTCCTGTGATAGTCAAGTGCCACTTGCTTACTGAAGTCAATTGGTATATATCAGAGGTCAGGGGGAAGTGGCTAGAGATTGAGCTGAAGACTCCACAAAAAGCTGACATTTGCAGCAAGAGCACTGTTTAGCCTGCTTTAGCTTGCCGGTATCAAGGAAAGAAGCCGTGCTGATTATAAAGGTACCACTATGTTTAAATTCTTGTGAAATGAAAAGGTTCAGTTTAAGGAAAGATGTTTATTGTGATGCAAAAGAGTCAGGTTATTTCTACATCAGAAAGTGTAGCCAGATGTGTAGTAGAGAAAAAGCTTAGTTTCCCATACTCTATTCCTTTTCCTATTGGGATTTCCACCTCAATTCCCCCTTTTTGTAATTTGGTATTTGGTCATCTGTTTTGTGATATTACCTGTTGCTATATCACTGTCCATGTGTTTAGTCATAGACTTATGTTAATGGTATCTTCTGTTGCCCAGGAGCTAAACTCTGCCCTGGTAGAACGGGACAGGGCCATCTTTGAAAGGAATGAGCTTCTTGAAAAGTATTGCCATGAGGTGAAAGACAAGGCAGAAGCACAAAAGGAGCTAGATCAAGCCTGTAAGGACATAGAGACTGTGAAAGAAGAACGGGATGTGGCAAGGAAAGAAAGGACAGAGGCCATCATACAGAGGGACCACCTACTGAGAGAGTACTATCAAGCCAGACAGGTACATTCACAGTGTGGTTGTATCATTTTGCAGCATGTACAGCTAGGTCACTTCCTGCCCCTACTCTGTGAATGCACAATGAAGGAACAGCAGCAGGCTGATGAATTAATTCATTTGTTTACTGTGCTCTCTCCTCCTGTCGGCATGGTACTTGTCTGCAAATATGCATATAACACAACTCATTGGCTCCTAATGCTGTCCTTCCCTATCTCAGTCTAAGTTCTACTGCACTGGAGGCTTATGCCGAGGCTCAGTCGGTTTTTTATTTCTTTATTTTTTAATGAATGCAAAGCTGTATCCGATGTGATTATGTGCCTGGAGTTCATTTTTTCAATATAACCATTTAAAGTAATTCTGTGATAAGACTGCCATTGTGGAGCTCTCCTGCTAGTTGCCCGACTATCATGCTGATGACCTTGCTTTCAAACTGAGTGACTGACTGACCCATAACGAGTATAGATGTGTTTTTATTTGTGTACTTGGCCTTTTACAAGTTAGGGGATGTCATTAACAGCAAGTGTTTGCATTACAGTAGAACCGCACCCCGTGCAATTTCTAAACATGTGTAGTTCTTTCATTGTATTGTATTTTTTTTTCCCTCTCAAATATGTTCCTCAAAATGGTCTTTGCTTTTGTTTCTTATAGATTCAGGATTCTGCTACTCTAGACATGGAAAGAGCCAACAAAGAAATTGAGGTCCTGAGGAAGCAGTATGAAGCCATGAGCCATGAACTAAAGGAAGCCACACAGGAGGCTGAAGTAGCCAAATGCAGGCGAGATTGGGCCTTTCAGGAGAGGGACAAAATTGTGGCTGAGAGAGAAAGCATCCGGTCAGTATCTCCATGTTCAATTTATTTTTGTGGATAGCTGGGTTTTGAATCTGGGCAATATGTATCACTTCCTGTTTCCTTTCAGCATTACTGAAGTGTTCTAGCGCACACCTTTTGCTTTATGGCTCATGTAACTCTTTCTACTCTCCTCATCACACTCCTCCAGACATTGTAACATTCTCCTCCTGTGTGTCTGCTTTTCTCATCCTTTGTTGTCATGTCATCCTGTTCCCTCGCTGGATTACACAGACTCTGGAGTGATTATGGGCCACCATCAATTACAGCACACAGCAAATGGAGTGCAAACATGCGCAGTGAGAGCACACCCACACATACAGAGCACACAGTCATGGAATATACAGAGAGCACACACGGACAGGTCACACTCAGAGAACCGACATTAACCACTTCAAGTCCGCGGTGTTAAAACCCCTTCCCATCCAGGCAATTTTTCAGTGTTCAGCGCTGCAGTACTTTGACTGACATTTATTCCGTCATGCAACGCTGCACTGAAATAAATGTTATACCATTTTTTGGGGACAGAGAGAGCTTTCTTATGGTGGTATTTAATCACCACTGGGGGTTTTATTTTTTACTATATTAAGGGAAAATTACCGAAAAAAAAAAAAAAAAAAAAAGTTTCCCCTATATTAAATGATAAAACATTTAATATTACCCAATTTTTTGGTAAAATATAAAAGATGGGGTCACGACGGGTAAAAAGACACCAAACATGTCAAGCCTTCAAATTGCATGCGCGAAGCCTCAAAAAACGACAATACCCCAAATTGGCTTTAAAAGCTTTTACCGCTCATCAGTTTAGTGTTATCAGTGATTGATGGCCCTAAAATCATTGCTCTCACTCTGACGTTCGCAACGATATGTAACATGTGTAGCGCAATTGTCATTTTCGCATGCTGGCGTATTTACGTTTTATATGTGCGTAAAAGTGGGGGTGGGGGACTAAACATATTTTTTTTTAAACTCTTTTTATGTTTTTTTACACTTATTGTTATTGCTATTACATAGGGGGATAACAATCCCTGATGAAGCACAGATCTGCTTCATCATAGCACATACACGCGATCGGTAGGCTATAGAGCTGCCGATCGTGTGTATATGAAACAGCCGGTAACGGCTCTTTGCATTGAACAGGCTTTTTCTGCCCGTGCGCACGCTAGGGGGCGGGCGCGAGCAGAAAAAAAATGCAGAGTCCGCCGACCGTCCGTTTTTTTGCAACGGGTGGATGGCAACAGGTTAAACACAGCACACTTCTACTTTACAACTTTTTAATGTTATGGTAAGCATTGTTAGGAGAGCATTGTGGCATAATTACTAATTTCGCTTTTAACATAACACTGTTTTTTTCCCCACGTAAGGCATAGATGTCACATCAAATAAATAACAATATATAATATGTGTAGGTGCAGTGCATGAGGAAGATGAAAATTATGGTTTAATAAACACAGCAAAAATGGCAAAATTGCTCCGGTCCCCAGGAACAAAACCATTTTCTGAAGCTGTGTCACTGAGGGGTTAAGGGAAACCATTAGCAAAGCTGTAACATTAATCCTGCGCATACATGGGAATAAGAAAAATCCATAACAACATGACAGCATTACTACTTGTAAATAGGGTGGCTGGTAGCGTAGCTTACATGCTTTAACATGCTGTGGCCTACAGGAAGCTGCATAATGGCATTTGGAAATATGGAGAGTGACAATGTAACTGTGTTGTAGTAACACAGACAAAGGTATTAAATAGGTGTTTAATAACAGCTAAACTTGAAGCGAAAGTTAGGTTTGGATTGTCAAAAAATGCTCACCGTCTTAAAGTGACTCTAATCTCAGGAGTTAAATATTAAAAATGCATTCAAGTACTTTAACTATTAACTATCTTATTTGTGTATCACTCGGCTGTAGATCCTCAAATCGTCTCTGAACTGGTGGTGACACTGTCCTTCCTTCTGGAGGGTGGCTACTTTTGTTCCCCATTGTCTCTGTGTGTGTTGTAAAGTAGCCACCACTCCAAGCTCGCTCCCGGGAAGGACTACAATCTCACGTTTGGTTTACTAACTTGTATTGAGATTGTAGTCTATCACAGGAGTGAGCTTGGAGCGATGGCTACTTTACAACACACACAAGGACCATGGGGAACAAACGTAGCCACCCTCCAGAAAGAAGGACAGTCTCTGCACATATTCAGAGATGATTTGAGGATCTACAGATGAGTGATACACAAGTTGCATTTTTGTTAATAGAGTACTTGAGTGTATTTTTCAGATTTTTTTTTTTTTAAAGATAATTTTTATTGATTTTTGCAAGTGTCTGAGACACAACAATGATAACAACAACACCATCAACAAACAACAATTGGGTCAACATAACCCAGGCATTTACACATCAGTACACTCTCTATGTTGGTCATGAGGTTACATGGTTACACAAGCTGTGGATGCAATATTCCAGGTTCAAGACATGGTGATAAAGCTCTAAGATAGGTATCACAGAACATTGAGAAACAAACTCAGCCACATATATCAGCAGACCAAAAAGTATCACCTAGGGCTCATAGGTCCAGGACTGGGGGACTCTGGGCCAAAAAGTTAGTACTACCCCGTTTCAAAATTTGTGTTTGAGGAGGCCAGCCATGGGTCCCATATGCGACCAAAACGTGTCGGGTTACCTCTCTGCTCGTATGTTAGTTTGTAAATGGGGAGTGCTTGATTAATCAGTCTTTTCCACTCGCCCAGGGAGGGGGCCGCCTGGCTACCCCAGACTAGGAGAATGGTTTTCCTGGCATAAAAAAAAAAGGAGGCGGATGAGTGTCTGAGAACGGGAGGCCAGTGTTAGCTCCCCAAAGAGACCCAGGAGGCAGAATGAGGGGTTGCAAATGTTGGGGAAGCCGAGGCTGACCTCCATGAAGGAAGTGATTTCCGACCAAAAGGCTCTTATGACGGGGCATTCCCAGAAACAGTGCAAGAAGTCGGCCTCTCGCCCGCAGCGCTTAAAACAACGCGAAGTCGGGCGTAGGCCAAGTCTATTCATCCGGGCGGGAGTGTAGTAAACCTGGTAGAAGAACTTCATTTGGATCAGTTTGTCCCTAGACGCTATTACAGAGGACATGTACCCTGTTTCCCCGAAAATAAGACCTACCCCGAAAGTAAGACCTAGCACTATTTTTCAAGATTCCTGTAATATAAGGCCTACCCCGAAAATAAGACCTAGTTTGGCGGTATCATGTTAGGGGGAACTTGAAGAGCAGGAGAGACGGTATCAGCCTGCAGGGACATACTGTATTAAGGGGATGACAGGGGACTCCCTCCGGCCAGCGCAGTGACAGGGAGCACTCCAGTACCATACTTCACCAACTGCTGTCCCCCCGAAGGCACTGCTTAATGTAATGGTACTGTACTGTATTGTGTACCGGTAAATGGTACCATACTTTACTGCGCTGTCCACTGTCTGATGTTCCCACTGCTGCACCGCTGGCACCGCTGTCCCTGATGGCAAAGCATGCCAGCACTGTAGAAAGCAAGGCTGCGGCAGCGGAGGGAGCAGAGCCGCATTAGCAGATACACCCCCTGAAAATAAGACCTAGTGTGTTTTTTGGAGGCAAAAAAAAATATAAGACAGTGTCTTATTTTCAGGGAAACACGGTAGCTGCTCTCAAAGTCACCCCAATAATCTTCCACCGGGTCCGGGAGGAGCGACCGCCACTTCTGTTTGCGGTCGTCAAATCTACCGGCTCTGGAGGACATGAGTTCCGCATAGTATGTGGAGATAAATTTTGACGAACCTTCCTCTCGCAGCATTCCCTCCAGGGGCGACTGGGCTGGTGTAATAGTAGTTGATCCAAATTGGGTACGTATCGCATGTAGCAGCTGAAAGTAGGCCAAAAAATCAGAAGGGGATAGTCTCAGCTCCTCCCTAAGCTGTGGGAAGGTAAGCATCACCCCATTTCGAAACAAGTGAGACAAGGATTTAATGCCTTTTGAGGACCAGAAGGCGGCTGATGGTAGACGTTGCAGCTCCGGGAGGGCCGGATTACTCCACAAGGGGGAGAAGGGAGAGTGGGACCATTGAGGTAATGATAAGCTATTAACAACATATCGTAGGATCCGGACAGTTACAGAAATCATCTCCGCCCCTTGCTGCTTTTGGGTATGATTAATCCCTCTATAAACTACATTTTGAAGGGATTCAAAGGAAGTTAGTATGGCTGCCTCAGCTGCTGTACATGCGTTTCCAGCTTGGGGGACCAGCCAGTCATGGACCACCACTAACTGGGATGCCAAATAGTACATTTGAAAATTAGGAAATGCCAGGCCCACCATGGTGCGAGGGAGCTGCAGTACCTCCAGGGCCACCCTGGGAGTGCGACCCCCCCACAGGAACCCCGTGCAAATTGAGTCAATTTTACGGAAGTAGCTTTTTGGGACATAGCAAGGGGCATTCGCTAGGATATACAGTAGCTTAGGGAGAAAGTTCATCTTAATGATATTGACTCTCCCCATAAGGTCCAGCGGTAGGTCCATCCACTGTTTAGTTTTCAATTGAAGAGAGTCAATAGTCGGGGCCAAATTATTAGTAATATAAGAGGAGAGGGGCAATTGAACCTTAACCACTAAATATTTAAAGTCCTTTACCACCTTTAGCTTGGATACAGGATGAATATTCGCCACCGTTGCCTCATCTAGGGGAAAAAGGACCTTGAAGCCCGAAAACGTTCCAAAGACATCCAATAACTGGAGGAGGTGGCATAGGGAGTTATTCGGGTCAGACAAATAAATTAACGTATCATCAGCATACAGAGAGATCCGCTCCTCCAGATCACGTATCTTCAGGCCATGTATATTCACAGACTTCCGTATCCTAAGCGCCAGGGGCTCAATTGCCAAGGCAAAAAGGATAGGGGTGATGAAAACACAACCCTGTCTCGTACCCCGAAAGATACTAAACGGGTCGGATACCTCTCTGTTGATGCGCAGTCTGGCCACT